TGTTGGTATCGAAGATTCTGGAAGACCGAAGAATTCATGCTGTTCGATTGAAGAGTATGAAGACCGAGGATTGAGGTTACTTAGAGGTCGCATGCTCAAGTACTCCGCTGCGCCACGACATATTGGACTCTTCTTGTTGACATCGACGTACGCGCTAGTGATTACCCGACCGGGAAGATGTCGGGGAGCGAATGAAGGGAGGAACACCGACCAAGGGGAGATAACCGCCGCGCTGATGACAGGCGGTCCAATACAAGGCGGAAGGAACGACTTCAATCTGCAAGACCGGCTTCAATTGCGAGGAATGGTCCACTACAAAGCGGTCCAATACAAGTCTTGCAGAGAATGCTCAAGTCTTGCAGAGAGCAAGACCGACTTCAATCTGCAAGACTGACAAGGTCTAAGGCGATGGTGAAGAACCCCGGATCAGTGAAGAGAGTTCCTCCGGTGAAGACGCCGTTGTCAAAACGAGTGAAGAAGACCCGCACACCGAGGAAGTGTACTTCGATGAAGTCGGCAGCGGCGCTTACACCTGCCACTAAAGGCACGTTGCATCGCCTCAGGTTTCGGAACGTAGTCATGGAAGAACTCAAAGACTGCGATGCAACTGAGTTGCAACGCCTGTGTAAGGAAGAAGGCGTGCTATATGATGGGAAGGTGGGAGCGATCTTCGCGATCGCGGATAGCCGAACTAGGCAGAAGTATGGACTAGATAATGTCGAGATGAAGGAGATCATCGATGTGGGTGATAGTGAGACCAGGCAGGTGCAAGAAGACGAACAGAAGAACTGATGTGCCTGGGAGATGTGAAAATTGTGTAGGTTGTTCACCGACCTACAAAGTGAGTCGACTGGGTTGATGGGCTTATTGAGGAGGTTCTACGACTTATTATTCTCCGTCTCTCTTTGGAAGGTGAGATTCGATGGATGCAAAAATATGTCCCGGCATGGGAGCGATTGTATGAGAAACATGGTATTGGGTTCTTACGAYTTATGAATGTCGTGTATGTAGGTATCTCACCCTACTGCAAGTCTTTCTTTGTCGGTAAGACGAATAGATGTGTTACRATCAGATGGCGTGAGCACTGTYGAGTCTGTAAATGCAGAGTTCCCTCACATTTTCACTATTGGATGCTCTCGTTTCGGATAGGCAACTATTTGTTGCTACCCATCGATCATATCGAGGGCGATGATTTGGTTAAGCTTGAAAGTCTGTATATTAGGCAGTGGTCACCTTTCTTGAACACAACAAGGGCTCGAAATTTTGGGATGAAGAAGAAGGCTAAGCTCGGGAGGAGGAAACGCGCAAAGGTGAAGCACGTATGAGGTAGCAGAACTGATTGTAGTGTGGTGAGATTTAGGCGATCAAGCTGCGAGCCGTGGCGCTTGGATTTTTATCAACTACTGAACGATGCGCTTTCCGATGGGTGTGCCAATAACAGTATTACCATTCACTACGGTAGTATATGGCAGGGTGGATGGAAGAGGATTGGGCGAGCCTTTGGCGATACAAAGATTCGATGTGAAGGAAAGGAGGTGGCCTTGAAACACGCTAAATAGATGTTGTAGAGAGGAGGAGTGGTCACRATCGTGTACTRGTGTAAGTGGAAGCCGAAGTGTCGCTACCTGAAGTCAGTTTTGATGGGTATCCTTCAAAACCCTGGAAAAATACAGGACGTGTTTGGATGGAACCTCAAATCATTACTCCGATTATATAATGCCATCAAAGATTTTAGTMKSAAGTCGACTAGGAAGTATYTACGCCGGTTAGTCTCCAGAATTTTTCTCGATCGATTTGATTTTAGTATGAGTGCTGACCCTGTGTTTCGTCTCAAGTTTGATGATAGAATCAGATTATCAGAGGTTAGGAAGGTRGTCAACGATGCACTAATGAGCGGGGACCTACCCCGATGCTTTCTATTAAAAGACAGAAGAAGGTCCAAATTGTCTAAGCTTAAAAATGCTGCTGTCTCGGATATCATGCATAATCAGCGAGTATTCGCATCTCGCGATGTGCTAGTCTGCAGCTGTGCAGATTTGTYGTTCCCAAGATCGGGAGGGTCCGTTTCCAACTCTGAGTCAGTGAAGTCGAAGGGTTTCACCCCCTGTTACATAACGCTAAGAATGTCCCTCGCGTTATGAGGGAGGATCAAATTGGATTGCTTCATGAAGAATTGATGAGAGGCTTCGGTACACGGAGGAACTGGAAAGGGGATCTGCCACATATACCACGTGAGGAACTGTGCATGTGCATTGGTGGTAGTACGACCGATAATGGTCAACTGTCTTCCGCACACGTCACATAATTGAAATCGAAGCTTCAAGGGTTGGTGCTGACCCCACTCGATCGCAATCCAAGCGAGACGCTTGTGCTATGCCGTACCTGTACTTTGAGGCCATGATGACTACTTTCGTTAGGAACTCTGGCTATAGGATCATCAATACTCCCGCTGCGGAGGTGTTAAGGGAGATCAGGGAGGATGTGACGTCAGGGAATCTGGTGAAGTTTGCTCGATGGGATAAGTCTGGCTGCTTCGGCTCTGCTTATGTAATACCGAAGTAGAAGGTTGTTGACAGATACAGACCTATCTGTCCAGACGGTCCCACCTTCAGTGAACCCATGGTGCGGACAGGAATAGTTGTTTGAAAGGATTTGAATCATTTATTGAAGACTTTACCCAAGGGATATAATTTCAACTTGACATCGGTTTCGCGGCTCGCCGGAAGGCTGAAGGATGTCAACCAGAAGATTTTGAAGCAAGACGCGGGTGACGAGGTATATACTGCCTCATTTGATATTAAAGAAATGTTTAGCAGACTCCCACATACTGAGATTTTGTTAGCAGTGGATTGGCTGCAGCCTGCTGGATTTCCATAGGTCAAAGGGGCGACAGTGGGTCAGAGTGAATACTCGAGGGAAGGGGGCATCGTTTGGTAAAACCACTCATGCTGACCATTGGCGATCTTTGGACTTCACGAAAATGAGGGATTTCATCCTGCTTGAGTTGCACCATACATATACCTTTGCAACGAGTGTTCTGCTCCTGCAAGTTGTCGGCATTCCCATGGGTAAAACTACAAGCCCACCTTTGGCTTGTATCCTATGTGCATACTCCGAGTACCGTTTCATGAGGAGCATCGGAGTAGACTCATGCTTGGTTCATGGTACCAGGCTCGTCGATGATGTGATGATCATACTTGCTGTCAAGGAACCAAGAAGGACTCGTATTCTGGACGTTTTCCAGAAATGTTATCCGGCAGCGCTTACCCTGAAGCGCACTGATGATGGTTCATGCAGTTTTGAGTTTTTGGGCTGTCAAGTACGGACAAGACGGAGCTGCCCGTACCTAAGCTGTGTGCATACGTCTAAAAATGAGGACATCGTTCAGACCAGCGAGCCACGAAGAATCCAATGCGGGCAATCGTATCTTTTGTGGGGCTGCAAGAAGAAGAAGAGTGCAGTGATTTGCAGTCGGCTGCATCGTATTGACCAGAATACGACCTCTCGTTATGAGATTCGGCGACGTGCCAGGACTCTGAAGAAGGAACTGCCCTAACCATACAGGTGGATTGGGTCCCTGTGTGGTTTTGGGGACTGCTTCTTTTTGAAGTGTATCCGATGTCAGGCAGCTGACAGGTCTGTCTGAACCGTAGCTGGCCTGTACGGAGGGGCGGCGACCGTTCGTCACCGGCGGGTCCAATCCAGCCATTTGCAAGCGGTAACGATTTTTGTAGCTCAGAAGATTTTATCAAATCGTCTGAAACTTAGAGGGTCCGTAGATTAGGTCATGATATTTCAAGGAAAAATATCAGAAAAAAAAATAAAATCATTTGTACCGTAAAATAAGCACCTCGCCGATTCGTTTTTTTTCTCGAAGTCAATTTTCATGGCCCGCCCGGTCCAATCTCGCCATTTGCAAGCGGTAAATTTGGCGAGTTTTGTAGCTCAGGCGAATTCATCAAATCGCCTAAAAATTTGTGGATCCGTATATTAAGTCGTGATCTTTCAAGGAAAAATATCAGGAAAAATAAATAAATCATTTTGACTGTGAAATAAGCGCCGCGCCGATTCGTTTTT